AGCCACTGTAAACGTAATTTAGAAGCAGGGTTAGTTCCACTTTTTACCCAGGGTTATGAAACCCTGCTCTGGAGCAAGTATAGCACTGTTATTGCCATGTTAAACCCACACTGCAGTGCCAAACTTACACAGTGTGAAATGGCATGTTAGAATGTTACAGCTAGATGCTTAGCAACATACAACCAATCATGTACCTCATATTCAGATGCTTTGGACAGTAGCAGAATACCACATCTGGTATAAACAGTCATTTCAGCATTTGAGTGGGAAAATGTAAAATAATAGAATATGCATGAATTGAAGAAGTATTCTGAAAATACCATATAATATATAATCCAGAGCCAGCAAGGATCAAAGCCTTCCACAGCAAGTAAGAACTACGTCATTATAGCAGGGAGAAGAGAGCCAAGAATTCACTGAGTTCCTAGAGCAAGGAATCATCATCTCCTCCCAACGTATCTCCAGGAGACCAGAGACAACAAGCAGGGGAAACCTCCTCAAGTAATTGCACCCCTGGAGGACTGAAACGGCATCTCTGCAGTGACGAAATCGATTCATTCAATTTCCAAGCCTGCATCTTCTCAATCAGACATTAACACTATCGCTTATTAGGGGTGGGGAAAAATCGATACAGCATAGTATCACGATATTTTCTGCGGCAACACTGTAATCGATACACGGACGCCAAATATCGATCTTTTATTATACTATTTGGTAGAATAATAAAATCAATTTCTTTACAGTCCACTAGATGGTGTAGTTGAGTTTTTTCTAAAATCCTTTAATGCACGGCAAGCCGTTGATTATCCTGCTTATTCCATGGTAATTTTCCAAGTTATAGACAAGTTTAAACTAGTATTGCTTGTTGCAGTGCAATATTTGACCGAATGGGTAAAAATTACGGTTATTTTCATCAGTTACAGAATTATAGAATTACAGAATTATAACATTTATTTTAATTAATTATCGATTGTTTGTTCGAGACAGAGAAAGATGACAGTTGTGTGTGTGAATTACCTGCATCTGTGCATCTCTCACTACAAACAATGAAGTTGTTAGTTTAGTTACTTAAACAAAGATTTTACCTCTTCGTTGCTGAGAAATATAATGCAGTGATCCAGTTTCTAAGCCATTTTATTAATAAAAGTAGCGGGGCACCGTTGACAAGTTTATGTTGGCCTAGTCCTGAACGTTTCTGTGTGCGCAGCAGGATCTCTCTCTCTCTGTGCGAGTGACGGCCATTGACACACCTGTCATCTGTTGGGGGCGTAACTTAGCGATCGGCGATTGGGGGAGAGGACTAGACATAGTCTCAGAAAAATGGTTGCAGGAATCTCATTTTTCATGGTATCTTCATTATGGAATAACACGCTCAAAAAACTACATCTTGGTAGTAAAAAGCAACATGGTTTTATTGCATACAGTGTCACAAACAGAATGAGACCATCCACTAAAAAAAAATGATGGATAGTAAAGCTCAAATGGTCTTCTTTCCAAAGACACCAAAATGTGTGCGTGTAGCACACTGAAGTCAGGAACTGTTACAATTTTAAGTTAGGTAGGTCATTTTCAACTGTGAGTCCCAAAATGGGGGGTGCAGGTTAACAGGTTAAACGCTGTTAATGCATATCTGCCAGCCAATCAGAATCAAGAATTCCAACAGACAATGGCATAAATGAAAGTAAAATATTCTAAGAGCACAGCACTGCATAGTATACCTGTTGTAGCACATTGTTTACTTTAAGAGTACATGGTATGTTTAATTTAAATGTAACATTTTTATTTTAATGTAAGACTATGTTTTATTAATTTTACATTTAACAGTAATTTACTTTCAAATGCCCAAATTGCTGAAGGGTCTGCACAACTTTTTTGTACAAGTTCAAGTTGCATTGTTCAAAATACCTGTAGTAGCACAGCAGTGCATACCTGTTTACATTTAATTAAGGGGGACTACACTAGACTGTAATACAAATAGCTGAGTTTGCCAGTTGCATACAACATTTATGACAGGTTTTCATGAAAGTGTTGGTCAGTTTGTCTGCTTGACAATCCCGTTTTGCACTGCAACAATAAAATGGAAGTGAGATAAACAAACTGAGAAATGTTTCTTTTTAGTTACAACAGATGTTGCCAAAGTTTTCATTTGGGGACATAATTTGAAGTTGGAAAAAGGTAATAAATTGCAATATATCGCAGAATATCGCAATATATTTAAAATCGCAATAATATTGTATCGTGACACAAGTATCGTGACAATATCGTATCGTGGGGCCTCTGGTGATTCCCACCCCTATCGCTTATGAGACCAAAATGTTGATGACATATACAGTCTGCCAAGTTGTTAGCGGGGAATAAAGAACATTAACCTTCACATATATCATAGTATAAAGTTTTCAAACATGCTTTAAACAGAGATGAACAACTATAAGAATTTAAATATGTCACAAGGTAATCTTTAACAATTACATTTTCATGCACCATAGGCTTAAAAATCCTATGAGAATCCATTTTATCCAACATCATTATAATAACTGAGCAAATTAGCAAAAGGAAACTAACCATGCAAGAAAGTGGTCAGACTGAATAACCTCATCAGAGGACATGTAAAAAGAAATTATATATTGTTTTAAGTACAAGACAGAGCATCCTGAGTATACTGCTGGTGTGGAAGCCACCTGGAACAGGATGGGATTACAAATCTTGTAATCTTATTAATGTTAGGCTTTCTAACAACCTCCAGGACAATCACACCTTATTAAACAAACATATTTATAAGAATATATAATTTATTTATTAGGAATATCATATTTTTAAGATTATACAAGTATATGTCTGCTGTAAATCTCATTTTAAGAACCAGTGCTATATTGCAAAACCTAAAGAGCTACTATGAGACAAAAATGTTGGTTTTAAAAAAACATTTCACATTGTTCAGAGTAATTAAGAATTGATTATATTACCCTGTTAGCTTAGCAACAAGCTAAAGTCAAACTATCTCTATAGAGCTAGAGCTATATCTAGTCAGAACTAATGACATTCCGTCAGAGTTGGTATTGATTTTGATGAAGTACTTACTTCTTTGCCATTAAAAAAAGTGTAGCTTTACAAAATATATGGCTGAGCTTCTTGCAAAGAAACTGAAGTAAAATTGTTACTCATTAAAAAGAAAGTGCCTTTCTTCTGATTTTGTGAAATAGGACAATCAAAAGGTGAGACTTTATGGATTGAAATTCAGCCATTACAGCAAAAAAGGCAGATAGCAATTGCACAAACTACAAAAAGTACAAAAAGAAAAAAAAAACAGTGCAGTGTGTAAAATGTGTACAATACATCATATCAAAATGCAATATAACAAAATAGCATTTAAATGATGATCAATGATGATAAATACAGGCCAGCTGCTCACTGCTTGGTAACATTCTGTTTGGCTTTTCTTTATTGTATAAATCCCAGTCATATCTTGTTCTTTAAATACTATTTTAAATCCAGTCAGTTTAGTTTTCCAAAAAAAAAACTTAATTTTTACTATATCTATATATTACTATAGCTTTTAATTTCCTACTTCTTTCTGTTTTTCTTAGTATAAGTTGAATATACAGTTTATACACAATGAAGAGTTCATCATTAGGTTAGTAATTATGGAATTGATTTGTTTTTAATGCCAGATAGAGGCTTGCAATTGAATTAATCTTGCCAAAAGATCAAATAAGGAATCAAATACATGCCAACTAACCACATGAAACAGAAAAATAATTGGTAACACTTTACAATATGGGTGCACAAATATGCATTAATTCATACTTAACTAATCCACAGATAATCACAAGTTAATGTATAACTCATGAAGAGCTAAACCAATTATTAATGATTACTACATCAGCAACTAATGAACATTCTATATGATTCATGGATTAAATAATAAATAAATAGTTATTAGTTAAATTTGTCATAATGTATTAGTTCCGTAATAACATATTATATTAACTAATGATGTAAATTCATATGTTAATTACCACAGTGGTCAAAGCTATGTACTTCAACTTCCAGTTGTCTGCTTTAATTAATCATTAGCTAATGATTTGCAAAGGTATCATTATATTATGACTTTACTTGTTGAGGCACAGAACTATTAACTAATTTTTAAGTAATATATCATTGTGGTTATGCAGGGATTTAGAATTAGTTAGTTAGTTAGTCATGCGCCTCAACAAGTAAAGTCATAACATAATTGTATTTTTGCAAATCATTAGCTAATGATTAATTAAAGCAGACAACTGGAATGTGAAATGCATGGCTCCGACCCATTGTGGTAATTAGCACATGAATTTACACCATTACTTAATACAATATGTTATTAGGGAATTAATACAATATGACACATTTAACTAATAACAATTTATTGATTACTTCATCTATTAATCAGATAGAATGTTCATTAGTTGCTGATGCAGTAATTATTAATAAATTATTTAGTTCTTCGTGAGTTTTTTATTAACTCATGATTATCTGTGCGTTAGTTATACAGGAATTAATGCATATTAATGCCACCGTATTGTAAAGTGTTACCAAATAATTTATTACTTTCCTCTAGATTGTTTTAACAGGACTAAGAGTTCTGTGACCAGCTGTTATATAAGTTGTCAGAAGTCCGTAACTCACTCCAACACTTTTCCACAAACCTGTTTCAACTGCTGGCTGAGTGGGGTAAGAACATATGTCTGTCAACTCAGCATAGCTGAAGCCTACAGGGAACACAGCCTTACACTGTGCTCTTACACTGTAACCCATGCTATAAGAAGCCACTTTTCTGGATTTTACACTGCAAAAATGTAACCACTGAATCGAGATGGTAAAGGCAAGATTTTCTGCAGGAATGCAGTACTTTTCACTTTTTTATGCAAATGAGGCTGAGCTCACAAAATAAATGAGTTCCAAGAAAACAGCATTATGCCACATATACACACACATACATGCAAACTGAGAAAGGAGAATCTTACTGAGCTGTAGAGGAAGCCCTCTGCATTCATGCCGATGTAGAAACCTGCTTTAACTCCCTGAATGGCCACCACCCTTAAGCCGACAGGGATGAGATTGAAAAGAGCTAGGGAAAACAAAGAGTAAACATTACAAAACAATAGGTTTGGCACTGCTTGAACCACACTGGGAAAAGTGATAAAACTATTAACTAATCTAGCATTTCTGATAGAAACTATGAGATCTATAAAAGGTGTTAATTGGTTTACTGAGTAATGGTGAAGGTAAACAGTATGGATGAGAGTGGGGTAATCTGTGCAACGTTTTACCTAGGCTGTCGTCTAATCAAGGAGAATAGAGATAAAGGTAATATCTATAATTATCCGTTAATACATCCATATTAATATGTCTGCAACATACAGTTAGGTCCATATATATTTGGACACAGGCAAAATTTTTATTATTTTAGCTGTTGACCGAAACATATTCATGTTACAGGTATATAATGAATATGGACTTAATGTGCACACTCTGAGCTTTAATTTGAGGGTACTCTCAAAGTTTAAGGAATTACAGCTCTTTAATATGTACCTGCCCCTTTTCCAAGGGACCATAATTAATTGGACAATTGACTCAAAAGCTGTTTCATTAACAGGCATGGGGGTCCGTGTACCTACGTATAATTAATTTTTGTATTCAATATTGAAATCAGCAAAATTGAAAAAAAACCTAGCACATTTACGTCTTTCATTTGTTCAAGCAAAACTAAAAATCAAGAATTCTGCTTCATTTTTCGTTTTTACGTTCAGGGACAGAAAGCGAGTAAACTACTTGAATTTTCGATCTCTACCTGTGGGTGGGGAGTGAAACGCCCCTCTCCGCTGATTGGTCAACCAAACATTACAACATAATAATAGTCCTTAAAAAACATAATAAGAGTCCTCCGCTTCTACGGATTCTTGACATGTTTATTATTTCTACTACATTTGATCTCTTTCTCTTCATCAAACAGCCATATTAACGAATGGCTTGACACAAACCATACTGAGGCAGAGCCCATGGGACTATTTGTTCCTCAGAGTGCTTGTTTCAGTGATTGACTTTAGTGAAATGTGAATTTGACGTCATGATTTGAAGGTGAACTCGTTTTAGTTATCAAGAACATATCCAAACCCTGAAATAACATTTCGACCAATAAGCCAGTGTCAGCTGTGTCAGAAATTAACTTTCCCATAAAAGGCAACTGATTTTCTTTTTTTTTTCTTTTTACCTTTTGTATGTAATCTTTAATGTTAAATTGTTACATCAAATAAATTAGAATAATATAACAATAGGCTGTTACTAATTACATCACTATTTATAGCCTGCATCTGAAGACGCTTTTAGATGTATTTACAGTTTAATGCTGATCAGACGGCTGAATGTGCATTTATATAGCAATTACAAATATATAATGAAATGAGATTAATGTTTTATACAACATTTTTAATACAGAAATATGAACAAAATGAAATGATACTTGAATTATGAAAGTAATATCGCCAATATAGGTGGCGCCGCCATGGCGGTAGCCTATTTCATTGTGTTAATAAAGGAGCCTTTTATTTAATAATAATAATAATAATCAATATTGCGTGATCATAATTCCCACATTACAGTGACGGTTCTGCGTTCTGTCTCATAATGCATTTATGCGTCAGTTTATTTTCAATGTCTTCATTAGGCCACGCCTTTTATTTAATCTATTCGTTCAAATTGCTTAATTCATTCATTTAAGAATAAAATGAAGTGGCGGTCTATAATAATTGGTCATTGAATTGTTGTCTATAAAAATGGGTCTTTCAAAGACTCTGATTCATTCAGGAATGATAGCCTACACCAGTTCTGTGACTTTGGTTTAGTTAACGAGACACTGTACATATTCAATCGCGCTTGCTTCCATATTTTTTGATCAGTGCTTTACTCCAAAAGTGCGCACATATTGTAATATATAAAGTGCGCATGTATTCACACGTTTACCTCATATTTCTTTAAATATAATAGAATCATAATTTCTTAGTGACTCGCAGAAAGACGATTCTCTGCTGATCCATCAGTCAATATTGCGTGATCATAATTCCCACATTACGGTGACGGTTCTGCGTACTGCGTTCATAATGCATTTATGCGTCAGTTTATTTTCAATGTCTTCATTAGGCCACAATAGAATGAGTTTTGAGTAAAAACATTGTGTATTAATGTCATACTGTCACTATGAATTTTTTTTTTTTATCCCCACCGGGAAAAATATAATTCAGCAGAGACAGGAATACATTGACTAGAAGGGGGGAAATCCCCCCCCAAATCGCACCCTGGTGGTCTGTGCTTGTCTACAATACATTCTCCAAGTGCTGCAGTGCATCGCACAGCTTGCCACACAGATTTTAATAGGTGGTTAGCTATAATAAATAAGGTGGTGTGCCAAAGATGTAGGCTAGTAGGTAGTTGTGAGAGCAGGTGCCATGTAAATAAATATTTATGAGATAAACTAATATTTAATGGGCAGGTTGCAGAATTTATACCTACACAAAAGAAAGCTCTGTCTAGGCTCTGCCTCGGTACGGTTTGTGTCAAGCCAATCGTTAATATGGCTTTTTGATGAAGAGAAAGACATCAAATGAAGTAGAAATAATAAACGTTAAGAATCCGTAGAAGCCGACTCTTATCATGTTTTTAAGGACTATTATTATGTTGTAATGTTTGGTTGACCAATCAGCGGAGAGGGGCGTTTCACTCCCGCCCACAGGTAGAGATCGAAAATTCAAGTTGTTTATTCATTTTCTGTCCCTGAACGTAAAAACAAAAAATGAAGCCGAATTCTTGATTTTTCGTTTTGTTTGAACAAATTAAAAACTAAAAATGTGCCGTTTTTTCCATTTTTCAGATTTCAATATTAAATAAAAAAACGAATTATACATAGGTACACGGACCCATGGGCTATTCCTTCATTATTTCTACATCATTTAAGCAGGTAAAAGTTCTGGAGTTGATTCTAAGTGTGCCATTTGCATTTGGAAGCTGTTGTTGTGAACCCACATCATGCGGTCAAAGGAGCTCTCCATGCAAGTGAAACAGACAATTGTTAGGCTTCAAAATCAAAACAAATCCATCAGAGAGATAGGAGGAACATTAGGAGTGGTCAAATCAACAGTTTGGTACATTCTGAGGAAAAAAAGAATGCACTGGTGAGCTCAGCAACATAAAAAGGCCTGAATGTCCATGGAGGACAACAGTGGTGGATAATCGGATGATCCTCTCCATGGTAAAGAAAAACCCTTTCACAACATCCAGCCAAGTGAAGAACACTCTCCAGGTAGGTGTGTCACTGTCTACAATCAAGAGAAGACTTCACACAAGCAAATATAGAAGGTTCGCCACAAGGTGCAAACAAGGCCAGATTTGACTTTGCCAAAAAACATCTTAAAAAAGCCAGACCACTTCTGGAAAAGCATTCTTTGGATGGCTGAAATTAAGATCAACCTGTACCGGAATGACGGGAAGAAAAAGTATGGAGAAGACTTGAAACAGCTCATGATCAAAAGCATACAACATCATCTGTGAAACATGGTAGAGCAGTGTGATGGCATGAGCATGCATGGCTTCCAGTGGCACTGGGGTACTGGTGTTTATTGATGACGTGACAGAGGACAGAATCAGCCGGATGAATTCTGAAGTGTACATAGATATACTCTCTGCCCTGATTCGGCCAAATGCAGAAAAGTTGATTGGACGGCGCTTCATAGTACAAATTTACGATGACCCCAAAAAAAAAACAGCAAAAGCAACCCAGGAGTTTTTGAAGGTAAAAAGTGGAATATTCTAAAATGGCCAAGTCAATCTCCTGATCTCAACCCGAATGAACATGAATTTCACTTCACTTTTTTCACAAAAAGACAAAACTAAAGGCAGAAAGACCCACAAACAAATAACAACTGAAGTCAGCTGCAGTAAAGGCCTGGCAAAGCATCACAAAGGAGGAAACCAAGTCTCTGGTGAGGTCTATGATTTCCATACTTAAGGCAGTCATTGCCTGCAAAAGATTTCCAATAAAACATTAAAAATTAACATTTTATTTATGATTATATTTATTTGTCCAATTACATTTGAGCCCCTGAAAATGGGGGGAATGTGTATAAAAATGGTTGTAATTCCTAAGCATTTTATGTTATACTTTTGGTCAACTCCTTAAATTATAGCTTAAAATCTGCACTTCAATTTCATCTTGTTTGTTTTATTTTAATTCTATTCTGCTGGCATACAAAGCCGAAATTATGAAAATTGTGACAGTGTCCAAATATATATGGACCTAACTGTATAGCATTGAAATATGACTTCTACAAAAGTGGTCAAACAAGTTTGTCCAACAAGTAATGTCAAGAGGTAAGATAAAAGATTTGCAATTCAAACAAAAATACATTATTCAATTTCGAAGTCTTACTGTAGTCAAGTTTTCTGAACCATAAACTATAGGAAAATGTTTAATATTCAGTATATTTAAATGCATTAAAACCCTTGTTCAACCATTTTTGTTTTTAACTTGCATCTTTATAGGGAAAAAAGTTGACAAAATCATGCATGATTGGACTGGACAAACCAAAATATTATCACACATTCAGTTTGCCTTTGTGATGACGAGTGCGTGGACTCCGGAGTGCGCATCTGAAGTGCGATTGCGTCACAGCGTCACGACGAAAGCTGTCCCAATTCAGAATGCGCCCTCCGAAGACCGCATTCCAAGGCCGATTGCATCACCGCGGCGTGACGAAGGCTGACAGATTTCGAAAGCGACTTCAAATGCACCCTCCATTTCCCAGGAAAATGAAGTGTACATCTGATGGACACTTCGCACCCTACCATATCGCAGAATCACTTGTGCGCAGCACATTGAGATGTAAGTATTGTGTTTTCATTTACTCAAATAACTAGCGAAAGTGTTAAAAGCCAGGGTTTTTTTAACACAAAGCTCGCAAACAATAAGACAACCACTATATAAGGCAATAGTTTTTCCCTTTGTTGTGTTTTTGTAGTGCTGTCATGCAAGATATGTCTACAAATGTTTTAACCAAACTTTAGCACTTCAGTATTTTG